CACTTTTGTTTTTGTTTTCCTGAACTTTAACATGCTGACATCATGTTAATCATTATACATGTTAATGTTAATGTAATGTTTAGGTTTAATTAAAGTTAGAGTCACTGTGAGGTAAGGTTTGGTTGAGGGTTAGGATAAGGTTAACATCTAAAAAGTAATGAGAGTATTTGCACAACTTGTTTCTGGTGAACCAAGGTGGCCTGAAATCTATTCATCTGATATGAAGGTTTAACATTATTAATTTAATCCGTTATGCAAATACAAAAACTGGTTACTTGGCTTTGTGGCTTAATACAACAAAGGAATGAAACTGTGAGGTTATTTGGATTATTATGACATACAGCATGGGTGGGTATTGCTTTGGAAAGATGTCATGACAGTTTAAATAAAGCAAAGATAAAGACAGTGGCTTACCTGAGTCCATCACAGGTACTGATGCTAACAGATGACTCACTGTCGTTCACAATCCTCCCATGATAGAAGCAGTGATCCTGGCAAGGACATGAAAATGGTGACTGTGTTATTAAATGACAACATTTAACTTTCTTTTCATCTGCTTATGTCTCCAGCATTCACTAACAGCCTTAAAAGCCTTTGAAGCGTTTTAAATCTAGTAAAATGTGCAATTTTACAGCTGTAAGTTTGAGGTAAGTTTGTCTACGAATGCAAACACTTACAATGTCATTCGGTACTGTGGTAACTCGAGTCCCATCTTCTTGGTAGTAAGACTCAGTGTAATCTTTGGTAAGTAATTCACTAAATACAGAAAGATAAAGAATAGCATTTGATGTGAAGAGTGAGTCTAATTCCAGTTTATTCAAAAAAAAAAAATTGCTTATTTTGATTTTATACATTACTTGTATATCCATTTGTCCACTTATTTCCTCACACTGCACAGACACACAGGTTTAGGGAAGTGAAAACTTACTTATTTCTTTCGAGTTGCATTTCTATGTCTTGTCCGCCCACAGTCATTGCATACGTAAGAGTGTCTGGTCTGTGGTACTGTGGGCAAAAAACCAGGAAATTTTGCTTTGAGTCATTCATTTTTATTTTTTCATTTATCATAATCAGGAGAAAAACAGCAGCTGATTTGATTGACATCACAGGATTTAAAATAGAAAAGAAAAGAAACCTCTGTGTGTCTTTTTCTGATTGTGTGAAGTCTGACCGGTCGAACCACCTCATAGTGCTTTCCCTCCTCAAATTCAGGACCATGGCTTCCTGTGGAAGTGAATCACATATGAGTAATTAGAAGAAGGATATTAATTTTGGATGCTAGTGTCAACAGGGTCTATTTTGTAATTAGTCGAATGCTTAACTCATTGCTTTCATTATTTGTGCTAACTAATCT